AGATTTATGAAACGAAACAGAAAATAATCATGTCATTGTCAGTGCAATGCAGACAGCCTGACCTGTTTTGATTAGTTCGTCCGTTTCTCGTTTGCTGGCCATTTTTTCTGGAGTGTGACACAAATGGTGAACATGATACTGCCAAATCAATCAAGAAACAGGATACGACTTGGATATGCTGAAACTTTGTAAATCGTCCTCTTTTCAATTGTAAACTTTATTCCAGTGTAATAAAGGTATACCTACATGTACCATGAAAAATTGTATCGCATCACTTTGGAAATTTACGCTAAATACATGTACTAAATACTAAACAAGCGCACATATCGTATTCATTTACAGCATCGGATTTTAAAACAATGTCTTGTGGAATCACAAAGAAACTGTTAAGTACGTATTTCACACATTACCGAGGACCGCGGTAGAGACCGGTACAGCGGTAGAGACCCCTAATTATAAGCAGTCCGCGCCTCTCCCCGGCGTTCTGCGGTACACCGCGGTAATGACCGCGGTGCACCGCCCGTTTGATTTCCTACTCTTCCCTAAGTTTGCTGAATCTGTCCGTACTTGGACTTTCCTACTACATATTAATCTCAGTAAGATTTATTCCATTACGATATATTGACAAACTATCTTGACATACTAGAATATGAGAGATGCCAGTTATTATATTGTGTTTATTTCCAGAATAAAGTTGATAATCTATATGCATATGGTAGAACTCTCATGTACGATGCAATTGTTGAAGGTATATCACAATTGAATGTAATTGGAAAGAAATATCCAAACTGTAAAAAGTAAGTACAAGACACCAATTGTTCTGTCAATTGTTATTTTGTTGCTGCACTATAATCATCTTGGAACATATTTGATTAACTTTCTGTTTTGTTTTGTTACTTGTGTGGCTCCCTAACTTAATAGCTGATGTGCTCCTTGTGAGACCCTCTAACTCTTTAGTTGTTATGAAATATCTTCTTCATCCTGACTACAAAATTGCTGGCCAACACATGATAGCTGACGTCCCTGTGTCAGCATTGTGTTAATGTACAACATCAGTGTCAAACCTCGTCAAAATGCTTTTCAATGATTTAAAAATTGTAATATGAGTGCATGTGGTATTCTTGTACAAAAACATTATTGAGATGGTAACAAAAGATAATAATGAGAAAGTATGTTGTCTGTTATAGAAGGCTGCTCTGCTTGTCTGATGGTTTAGATATTGGTTCTTCCACCACGCTGCTGATGGCTGCTAAGGCTTTACAGGTATGAATCAACACAGTCCTTCAACCTTTTCACCACCAACTCCTTCTTTTTATCACAAATTCACAAAATTGTTTCTGTTTATAGTCTGCACTTTCCTGCAAAAGATTGGGATCAAAATAGCCAATTTTTTGAGTAAAAACTGAAAATTGACTCAAATTTTGTCTGTTGGCTCTAAAAATAGGGTTCATTTCCAGAAATATTGAAGAATTATAAAGAAATTTGGTGGTGAAAAGGTTAAACATGTGTACCTAATAAAACTTAAAAAGGCATAATTTCTCTAGCCAAATTGCTACAAATTTATTTGTTTTTTACTAATTCAAATTAAATTTTCCATGATCAATTGTTTACAAATTAATCATTTTCATAGTGTTATAAATCCTTACATGTGTAAATGCTGTGTTTTGATGCACATGATGTTACTCTCATCGCTATATTTGTTTCAGACAACAAAACAGCAACATTGCCAGCTTAAATTGTTACATGATTTGAACTAGATAGATCAAACCATTTTCATGAGGGTACACTGCTTGACTAAATGAACGCAGTATACTAGTAGCACAAACTGATATGTGATGCCACAAATTAGATATGCACCAATGACTATGCCCTGCCATGTGAGATTGCATCAGTACATACACTTTGTTTACCTTTTTGGGATAAGTTTCTATTTGGCATATGACAATCTTCTATTCAGCATGTCTCTGTCTTTACTTATTAGTCCCCGTTCGGACGAAGTCCGAAAACGGGGACTTATGTTTTGCCCTGTGTGCGTCCGTGCGTCCGTGCGTCCGTGATCACCTGTATCTCGAACATGCATGGACCGATTAAGTTCAAACTTCACTCATACATCACACATTATATGGGACATATGCACATGCATTTTTTTCATGATCCGATTAACGATAGCCGAATAGCGGCCATTTTAAGGCCGAAAATGCATCAAAATCGCACATTTTCACCATTCCGGACCCGGATCTCAGTTATGCATGGACGGATTTTGTTCAAATTTGGTACATACATTAAACATAATAGGACCTTGATGCACGTCATTTTTTTTTTTTGGATCGGGTTCGAAATGGCCGACTGGCGGCCATTTTGTTTTAAAGAATTCAGTTCTGGATCTGTATCTGAGACATGCTTGGATTGATCGAGTTCAAACTTCACACACACAAGGTACATCATGTCACAAATATG